TCATGGAATGTGTGTTAATCGAATGATGCTATGGGTAGAAATTTTTAAAAATTAAGTGTCTCTTAGGACCTAAATTTTGTTCCTTGCTTGAATATTCACATTTGTGTAATTCATCTCTAACTTTGTCTAGAAGTTACTTAATATCTCCTAAATTCTTAATTTTCTTTGGAAGCAGAAATGACTTAGACACTTGAGCTTTTTGGAACCAGGGACGTTGAGTTTGAACTAAGCTGTGGAATTCTGGATAAGCTACCCAGATTCTCCACTTACTTTCCTTAATTCATCAAATTGAGATAACATAGAACCTGTCGCTTTTTATTTCATCGTTATTTGGATTTTGTGTTTTAATCAGCCAGACTTAATTCCTAATGAATATGTCTTCCCAATCAAAATTTGTGTATGATCTAAATTTTAAATTCACCCTATACTTTATAATTAGGAAGCGTAACAAAGTTAAAAAGGGGGAAAAGTTAGGAGTAACTAAAAGGAGGCCACCATAATTAGAACAGGGATAAGAATCTGGAAACTGGCTCCTCATATATGGGTTATTAGTTAAGTCATATGTCTTTACTAGATGTTGTTAGCCTAGTTTCAATTATTTTTCTTTTAAAATATTAAAATAATTTAAACCTAGCACCAATTTAATCCACTTTCCACTTCCATTCCTCCCAACTTCTGTCCAAATAATGAGGTTTTGTTATCAGGGCCATTTAAAAAATATTCAAAATTTATTTAAAGTGACATTAAAAGGCAGGAAAGGAAAAAAAATAACAAAAAACCTTGCATCTATATTTCCAAGTACATCAAAGAAAGCTGGGCTAAAGTTCAAAAGTCGCATTAGGCTTTATATTTAAAAATGCTCTTTTCGTTCATTATGGGAAACAAGAGAAAGAGGCTAAGCCCGATTGAGTTACCTATATACACCTTCCCTATCACAAGTGGTGGCTCCCTTTACTACAGATGCTAGTGTCAGAAGCAGGACAGAGGAAGGGTTGTTGATAGACACTGAGTAGTCTTAACTTCCAAACTAAAACAACGATTTAATATTGAGATTCAAACTGCTCCCTGCCTAGAGACTATGTGAACAGCATATCAAAGACAGAGAACCAAGGAAGAATGAGATTAAAAGTAAGCATTGGGTTTGCCGCCTTACTCAAGAGAAAATACCTACAGATTTTCTCACTGGTAAGATTACCAAGAATCTGAATTTGGGTTGGCTTCTAGAAAGTTCAGCAAATCAGTGGAGACTGAAGACTTCGGTGGACTCCACAGTCTGAGATGGACCAGTAAGCATCAGTAATGCTTACTAATCAGCTCAAGATCAATTTACACTGGATACTTTGCTTGGCCAAAGGAGAACTGATCCATCTTATAAAATAAGTTTATAGAAAGGACCCAAATTATTAGAGGAAGGTAGAAATACTAATTATTTGCACAGCATTTTGGCACAAAATGAAAACAGTATGAAGTAACATATTGGAGTTCTGGCTCCTTTTCCCCCTCTAGTCTTATTTCTGATTTTGTTACATTACAGTTGTTTCATTATTGGCTTTCTATCACCTGGGCTACCTTCCTCCCAGCCACAACAGCTTAGGATGTGATAGTAATTTGGTCAGTAAATAACTTGAGATTTCAGTACAATGAACTATGATGCATATTAGTGCATTTGATCATACATGCATAAAAAAGTTTATAGTATCTTAAGGCCGAGGACAGGCCGTAAGTATTAAGAAGTTTATGACTCTGTCTCCTGATCCTAAAAGTAGACAAGTTATTTTACTGGTGGATTATAGGTACAAAAAAAATCTAGTGAACATTTGAAAAGATTTGAATCTTCAAAGTACATTTCTTAGGTCCTTTAAGTATATTACCTATGTTTTGTACATATATAAAATGTAGGTACCCATTTCTTTTTAGTTATTCTAAAGTCACAAAAAAAGTCAATTTAGAGCATGCTTAGAATATGAAATATCTCCTACAAGATTACTTTTTTATTTCTTTCTTCTTTTCTCTTCATTTGACAAATGTAGGCACACATATGACTTTTAAACAAAAGGCCATTTGATTAGACCAGTTTTGGTCTGACGTAAGCAATGATCTATAAGGTATAACATTTTTGTTTACTGCAAATGTGTGGCTTCTAAGCTAGCCTAATTCTGCACTCAAAACTAGTCTGAAAATTCCTCAAGAGAATTTTTAACTGGGCTCTTAGCTGAAAATATAGAATGTTTTAGAGCAAATTTAGCAATTAGTTAGCTAAGAAACCAGGCAACAGCAACATTACCCTTCTATAAAAAGTTATATCAAACTAGTAAAGTTAAGTGTCATTTTTAAAAGTTCCTTTTAGAGTCTAATATTTATGGACTGGCATTGTACTAAGAACTTAGTAGGGCAAAGAACAATACAAAAATATTTAAAAATGTTTACTGACATAGACAAAGAATAAACCTTGTTATTTTTAGGATGTGATTATTACTTTTTAAAATTGGTTTCTAAAAATCTGTACAACTAAAGTTTTGTGGAATTCAGGGCCCTCATTGCCCCCTTTTTTCCCATAAAATTTCTAAGATTTAAAAAATAATCTTACGATATTACAACAGCTACAATGCATTAGCTCATCAGTATAGTAAACATGAAAACATTATATTTCTAAGAACTGAGAATGGACTTCAGATAAATCTAGAAGAAAATCTAATTCTAAAATAATTTTTCTCACAAAGGTTTAATTGGTATTATAAAAAATTAACCTTGAGTGTACAAAGAATATAAAATAAGTCTAATTCAAATTGAGAACTGTCTTTAATTTAAAAGACAACTATTACTTCAATAATGTAGTACTATGTCATGCTTATATATTGAAATGCTATCAGAGATGAAGCATTCTCTATATCACTATCAGAGATGAAGCATTCTCTATATCGCTATATAGAGAATATGCATATATTCCTCAGGTACCATCTTTATAAATTGGTACCTGAGGAATATATGCATATTCTCTATATAGTGATTGAGAACCAGTTAAAAGGCATACAAAAAAAAAAAAAGCTAGAAATTATGAAAGTTTAGATTTCTGTAGAAAAATTCTATCATGGTATGAATACCATTAGTGATGATTTAGCAGGAATCACTGGCTAGGAAAAGTTGGCTGACCGAATAGCAAGGCAGTCAATTAGGATTCAGGAAAAATAGTTTTTTAATATTAGCCCTATCAACTAACTGAAATACCTATTGACAATAGATCAATGGAATTAAGGTCACATATACTAAATAAAACTAGATCGCCAGGCTTCAAAGCCTAGGACTGCCAATTATTGCTGTGCAACTTCAAAGTGCATTTCTTAGGTCTCGAAGGTTAGGTTCCATCACCTTTAAAATGGATAAAAGTAGCTATCCCAAGAGCTATTTTCAGCTGAATAAAATAATCCATGTAAGGCGCTTAGTGTAGTGCCCAGCACGGAGGTTGTCACAGTAAATGCCTAGCACTTAACAACAGCTTGTCATCACCACTACAGCAACCTTGAAGAGTCCAACTATCTGGCCCTCAGTTTTCTTCAATATAAAATACAGGTTTGAGCTGGATTATTTCTAATGCTTTTGCTCTCTAAATTAAAATTTACAATGTAAAGAATAAACAGAGCCAACTCTATTTCCAAAGAACATAAATTTATAATCTTTCACTCTAGCATGATTAAGGACACGGTAATTTAAATGCTACAGAAGAATCATATTTTTAAATCATCCTCTTGAAATTAGTTATAATTACTTATTAAAGTCAAAGTTATATATACTCTATGAAACTCACTGGAAATCCATGATCTTCCATCATGTTCAGTAACTACAATTCTTCCAAAAGTATAATGGCAAAACTGTCATAACCAATATGATCTTAAATGAAAGATGAATGTCATATAATCAACACTATATGTTTTTAGTAATCTACTTATGGTTATAATTTTGACTTTTACTATAGAATATCTAACTATATTAATTTGGTGCCTACAACAATTTCTGAAAAATAAGTCCTAATAGGAATCTCAAGGTAGATAATCCTAATTTTTCCTTTTCTTTTTTTTTTACTATAAGAACATTTCGTATCTCCTAAATATACAGAAAAAGTAAAGAGAACAAATTTTTTCAAATATATACTAACTAGAATGAAATATTGCTTTGAAACTACTCAAAATCTAAAGGTCTAACAAAATCTCTACTGATAGTATCAATTCAAAATTCAAATGAAAAGCAAACTTTTTTATTGCCCAATATTAAGATTCTTTTTAGTGTGGCTCGAATATTTTTAAAAACTAGAGTTTTAGTACGACAACATCAAGATTAAAGAAACATGTCTCATATGTTTCTTGGGGGCAAATTATTGATATTCATAGATACATCGACTGCACTAATCCAAACAAATACTTCCAATAAGTTTTTCTTTAGTATTTAAACTTTTTTCATGTGTTCTTAGAGATATTATTAAGAAATTTAAAAAGCTTTTTTAGTTTTAAAAATTAAAAATGTGTTCACTGAAAAAAGGTTATCTAAAACTTAAAAATGTTTTCTAGATAATACAATAGCATTGGGGAAAGGAGTTCTAGCTCACTTCAGTCATGTAGTATCATAGTAGGCCAAAGGAATAAAATTATATTTGTCCATCAATGTAAATGTATGGTTGTTAGTTCTTAATATTAAAATATGAAACCACATACATGCTCACACAAATGTCTGTTAATCTGACAACCTAAGCTCTCAAACCAGAAAATGTGTATCAGTCAATAGTCATTGTTATATTAGCAAAAATGGGGTTAATACTGGGGAAAAAAAAATTTAAATTCGTATCTGTGCTAACTTCAGTTTCGTTTCCACGAACACTTTTAACAGTTCTCCACACTTCACACTTGGCACCATTTCCAACCATTCAAGAAATTTTCGTTTTACCTTAAAACCAGTTCAAGGTAAAGTAGCACTGTAAAGCATGCCATAAAATAAATCTGTACTGTCCTTACCCTCAATATTTAGCTCAAAACAAACGTGGCAGAAGGAGAGTGTTTCTTTGTCTGTTCCCAGTTTACAAACACTGCAAATGTTGTCATCAGTCAAATCAATGTTTACAAACTGCTCCTCTTCGTTCATAGTGCCCCTATTAAGAAACAGAAAAGGCAAGTTACGCAATTTCAAGAACTATGGTTACTGCAATACTAGGAACTTCTAGGAAAAGAGGATTTTGTTCAGTTTATCTAATGCAATAGCCCCATCAAACAAGCATCGCCATACTTTCATACTTCAACATCATACTTTAATTGTGCAAAGACATAAGCCTAGTAAAACTTAAAGCTTTGCCATAGGTGACACTAAGTTTAAGTGATTTTTTGGTCCCATATTTCATTATGTTGAGGAGGGGATCTGAAGAAAAGCAATTTGCGGGGATTCTAGTTCCCCACTGAAACCCCCAATGCCCAGACCACGCACAGAAAGCACTTAGCAGCAAGGCCTTTTCAGCTGCCGGGGGCTGTCAACCTACTTAACGCTGTTACGCGCAGGAAAAACAACCAGTTCAGGACACTATTTCGCTAACTTCCTTGGGAACCTGAGCTGTGTCTCGCTAACTCGGCGTAGCGAGGCTTCCTACCGAAGATCCGTGGCAAGGAAACGCACGTGGAAACGCGAACACCCGGGGAGGGCGTCCCACCCGCGTCCGAAGCCCCCGCAGCGTCCAAAGTCGGGCAGCGGCTCCACCGTGCGGGTCGAGCACCGCCGGAGGCGGGGTGATCAAGCCGGGCCGGGAGGAGCCGTGGGTTCCCCACGCCCCGGGTTTCCTCCTACCCACGGAAAA